TGACTCTGGTCGCAACCTGATTTGTTCGCAACCCGAAGCAAATTTTCCCATAAGGTTCAATTTAATTACCGTTAATCCGTTCCGGCGTCTGCGGACCACGTGTCAGGGGTGGAAAAACGGCCGTGGACCACGCGTCAGGGCGGAAAAACGGCTGCGGACCACGCGGCAGGGCGGAAAAACGGCCGCGGACCACACGGCTGGGGTGGAAAAATGGCTGTGGACCACGCGGCAGGGCGGAAAAACGGCCGTGGACCACTTGGCACGGGTGGGAAAATGGCCGCAGACCACGTGGAATGGGCGGAAAATGGCCGCAGACCATGTGGCACGGGTGGAAAAATGCCCGCGGACCACGTGGAATGGGCGGAAAATGGCTGCGGACCACGTGTCACAGCGGAAAATGGCCACAGATCCGGTTTGTAACCCGAGGTAAATTTTTGCGGCTGGAGCTGGTCGCAACACGAAAAGTTCGTTAGCAGAGGCATTCGTAACCCGAGGTACCACTGTATTAGTTAAAATACTGGCTCAAGCACATTTTTGGAGGAGATTCTCTCGTTCAGTCCCACTTTTCCATGGAAAAACCAAGGCTCTTGTTCCTTTTTTGTCCTCCCAAGCTTTTTGCCCACCAGTGAATTTCACATTCCAGTGGATTATGTCTACTTTCTTCAACTCTTTCATGCTTTTTTCCCCTGCTAAATGAATTACGTTAGGTTTATTGACCAATGGTTGACAGTTTCTTCTGCAAATTTAAGCAACCATGCTGCAACCACAATGTCATATCGCACCAATTGATTATGTCCACTGTGGGCAAAAACCTTTGGGACATGACATTTTCACATTAGTTGTGGTCAAAAAAGAAACAAGAGCCAAAACCAAATTTCATCCAACTGTGTTTATTGCTTGCCAAGATCTATTTATGATGGGCTTGGAAAAAGCTTAAAGTTAAACAAAGAATTCAGGACCGTAAGAAACCTACCAGCTCACATCTCACGTGCCCACCTTTCACCACTCCCAAATATACATTCCAAATATCTGTATTTCCCCACAGTGATGTTAAGAGGGAGATAATAACATTCTTTTCTAAGAGCAACAGTGTATCC